CAAATAGATAAAAATTTACTGCTGTTGTTGCCGCTAGAATTTTAATATGCAATTTTGAAGTTCAGTTTTTAAACAAAGTAAAACTTCAATGATACATTATTGTTGATATTATTGTGTGTTTTTTCAGATAGCTAGCATTTAGGAGAAGAAAACAAAAACAAATGTTCATCAACATATTTATTTTTCTTCAAATATTAATTTAAATTTTTTTTTTCGTTTACGAGTTCTATTTCTAATGCTGTTTATTTATGGAGTGTTGCCGTTGTTGCTGTTATTCTTGTTGTCATTGTTTTTACAGCTGCTGATATAGTGAGGACTTTGAGAGGCAGCTAGGTAAAGAAACTTTGAAAAATTGATTTTGCTAATATTACCGATGGCGGAGTAGACAATAATAAAGTATATTTGTGTTTTAGTAAAGAAAGAATAGTGCGTGTGGGATAGGAAAGCGAAGAAAAAAAAGGGAAAAAAATAAGTGTGTTACTGAAGTTTATTATATTTTGGGCAAAATAGTTGCGTTTAAATTTCACTTTCTCGTTTGGAGGTTATTTTTCGATTGTTTTGGATGGCTTTTTTTGTCGCAGAAAATAAAGGTGAATGAATGACTAAATCGGTGAGTCAGTGGGTGGACATGCAAAAAAGACGGGTATTGTCGTATCAACTGTGGTTTGAAGTAAATAAAAGGCAGTTTGTGAAATTTTCATGGTGGAAAGCAAATGGAAATGGTGGAAGGACAGATGTTTAGAAAAAATCCAAAAAAAAAAAATAATTTTTTTTCTTTAATTTTTTTCTTGCTTTTGACGAAACATGGAAGTGGGTTTTTCTTCTTCTTTTTTTTTTTGACGGGTGTTTAAATGAGGTAATATATTTGTAGGCAAACGAGTAAAAAGGAAAAAAAACAAGCTGCTGAGTGGGTTCTGAGAAAATTGGAAGGCTTTTCATATTTTTCATCACAATCTTTTCATTTATCAAATAACAGTAACTTCAATTTTGTTAAATTCGTTTTGTGGTAACAGTTTGGTTGCGATAAAGGTATTTGTAATTGTGAGTGTATGTGGTGTAACGTTTGATAATGATGGTTGAAAAGAAAGGAACAGTTGCTCGAAATACTTATTAATTTGGATATTTATAGGCAAATTAACAATTTAGCCATCTAGACGAATAAGTTTGAGCTGTTTTTTTCTGGTTTATTTCTGCTGCTTCTCTGTGGCTGTTAGTCGGTCAAAGTGTAGCATTCTGTATTCTTTGTCGATTATCAGTTAAAATTAATAGGATTTGCGAGCAAGAATGTGGATGGAAATTTTTTTTTTTGAATTATTTGTTTAATTGCAGACATTATTTGAACCGAGTGACTGATATATATTAGCTGACGACTATTTCTTTTCTTTTTTCTTTACTTTAAAGACAAGAGGAAGGGAAGGAAAAAGAATTGAGCGACAACAACGCTGACCTTTGAAAATTTGCACTGAAACTGTTATTTTTGGAACTTCATTGGTCACCCTCCACTTCATCGTATTTTTATCACCCTCCTTTTATCAGTCTCTCTGTCTCAGTTGGTTTCAATTTGTCAAGAAAATCTCGAATAAGCGAGAAAGTAAACAAAAAGGAAAGAAAAAAAGGAGAACAAGAGACCTTCCAAGTTTGCTGCGTATCTGAACGAACACTTTTGCTAAAGCAGTTTACTCAACAACAGGGCAAAAACTGGATAGTTTACTATGTACTTGTAAGTTTTCTTTTTTTTTTCTTGCATCGTTTTTTCGTTTCCTTTTTCTTATTTTTTTTTATTTATCTGCTCAACTGTATTGTAATACTAATAGCAACATTTATATAGCACTGAAAATATGAGTGATTTGTACCTTTCGCTTTGTTATTCTCAAAAGAGAAAAAAAAACTGACTTTTTTTTATTTAGTGAGGGTTGAGAATGAAAAAGAGGTGCAAAAAAATTATTGGTTTTTTTTATTGTTTTTTTGTTGTGTTTTCACTACTATCAGCTGATTTGGTTTACGTTGGAGAGAAGGTTTTGCATTTCTTCTGTTCGTCCAAGCAAGGAACTCGTATAGTTATTCAGCTAGCTAACTAGTTAGTTGATTAGTTTGATTGGTTAGTTGGCTGAATGACTGGTTAGCTAGTTAGTTAGTTAGTCAGTCAGTCAGTTGATTTGTTAACGGATGAAGACGGATGTTATGTTTTGTTGTGCTATGTTTGCTTCTAAAATTTCACCTTGTATTGTTTAGAATTGCAAAAAAAAATTTTTTTCTTACCTATGAAACCAATATTTTGTTTATAAAAGGAGAAGCAAAAATAAGCTTTTGGTTGCTATCAGTGTTCAATTTATATTTACACCCTAAAAGAGAAGAGGTTTCTTCTTTGCACTGTTACGCTTTGAACAAATCAGAAGTTATGTATTGCAGGGAAAGCGACAGGTGATCATTAGGCGATATTTATTTTCGAATACTATCGGCAATTTTCTTTGTATTTTTCCCATCTAAGAAAAATCGAAAAAAAAAAAAGGGAAAAAAGGGCAAACTGTAGAAGTGATTGAAAGGAACAAAAATAGTTGTTATTTGCAACTAAATTTTGAGCAGTTATGGCACTGAATATATTCACACAAATTTTTCATAATATTCCACACTTTACACTTACACTGAAGAAGATCAAACCATTATTTGTTTTCGACCTGCACAGCGACTATACTCAGGTAAATAAACGACAAAATATTATTCTCAAATCACTGTCTAAATTTAGGTTTTTTTGTTGCAGCTATTACCATGAGAAGAATAGGGTAGTGATGAGAATGGGATAAGACGATATAAAACGATTTGCTTTGATTAGATTGTTCATTTAGAGTGCATATCGCATGTATTTGTAACTAATGTTCTGTGTTGTTCATTCATTTTTAAAAAAAAATATGCATTTGTCAAGCAATGTTTTTAAAGGTTTGCGGAGAAGAAAGGAATTAAAAAAAAAAAAAAAATTGAAAAATTTATTTTACTGCTAAACAGTTTTATCAGTTAAGGGAAAAAGCGAGAAGTCGTTTGACATTAGTTACTGAAATGAGTGTAAAAATTTGTTATAATTAGTCTGTTTTTTTTTTCTTTTCTTTTATTTATTTATTTTTTGTCAAAAATGATTGATTATTACACAAAGAGTTTTTGAATGGATATATTGCATTTATAATAAATTTAATTTTCTTTTTTTTTTTGCAGTCTTTAATAGTTTTCGTGATTGTAACACTTTTGGTTGGTGCGTTACTGTTGCTAACAATAATCATTACATGGATATGCCAATGTTGTACCCGTCGAGATCCGGCAGTAAAATCTCGACGACGTGTTCATCAGTTATCAACAATACTGTTTGTAATCAGCATATTTTGCTTGTAAGTTTATTTTTTAATTTCTTTTTTTTTTTTTTTCTCAGAGGAGTTGAAGTAGGAGAGGCGTTGCTATTAAACAAATTCTACTACGGCTAGAACTAATAAAGTACTTATTTGACAGATTAAGTTAAATGAACAAGGTTGGTGGTGATCAGAAGATAAGATAGTTTCAATCTGAAACAGATTTGTTTAATCACTTTGCTGTTTGATGTTATTTTAGTTGTTTATTGGCTTTTTTTTTTCAAATTTATTTGTCACTTTTATTTGATCAATTTGTTTATTATTTTTTCTTTAAAGGATTTAATGATAAAAGGGCATGTTGTTTTTTTAATCACATTTTTTTTTTTTTGCAGTTTTGCATTAGGTATTAGTTTATTTGCGAACGAACATATAAATCGAGGTGTCACGTCGTCGGTTACTGGACTCAGTTATGTTACAACCAATTTTCGTTTGGCTTATGCACAGGTAACAACTACATCATTTTTTTTTCTTGTATCTTTATGTTTTCAATGTTGTTCAGAAGTATTTTGACTGATGTATAGAATTACTTAATCAACACACCAATTTGCTGCTGGTTTTCTTTACAGGAAAGAAAAGAAACTAGCAAGTTATTTTCATTTCACTATTTTACTTATTTATTTAATTTAATTTTACTTTCTTTTTGTTTTTTCAAAGTTTTAATGGCAATGAGATTTTGGTTTTTATAGTGTACCGCAATGAATGAAACTTTCAACAATGCTACCAGACATGTGGAGCAGTTGTCAGGAGAGGTGAAGACTGAAGCAGCCCGAATGACAGATATTGATGAAGAGGTATTGGTTTATTGAGATAAATTGATAAAACTAGCCAGCGATATTGATATATATTTTTAATTTCTAAGATCCTTTTTTGTAACTTTGGACTTTAGATACACAAAAACATCAGAGATGATAATTGAATTATTGCAGGCATTAGCCGACGCACAATCAAGCATACAGGGATTGGGAAACAAATTTGGTGTTGTAAGTCTTGAATTGGGTAAGGTAAGGGCAATCTTGTCAAACGTTGTATTCTTAGAACAAGCTCGACAGTTTGGTGGAACTGCGGAATTTGAAAGGTTTGTTGCTGGCGGATTTGATTATTTATTTGTTAATGCTCTTCTTTTTTTTTTTCTTATAGTCATCTCTTTGCCTTCTGCTTGTTGTCATAGAGTTTGCCAGGGTATCTAATTCGGTTTTTGAAAGTCTTCAGGAAAACTAAACTTTTAGCTAAATGCGTTCTTTTTTTGAAGGAGAGAATAAATTCTTAGTGTCAATTATCCGGTGTTGTAGGTATTGCATATAAATTTTTTTGGTTTTAGATGGGTTCTTTTGGTTACCTTGTTGTCAATTATGTTAATTGTTCTCTTTGTGGGTGTAATAGCGTTTTGTCGACAATCTAAAAAGGGAACGGTTATGTTTTCTGGACTTGGTTTTGCTATATTTATTGTTGGTTGGTTACTCTTTGCAACGATTCTTCCGCTGACAATAGTGGGTGTTTATTTGTTCTTTTTGGTTTATTTACTTCACATTTTGAACTGCCTGAATGAATAGTTCAGTTGATGGGAAAGAAATAAAATTTTTTTAGTTTTTTAAAATAAATTTGTCTATAAATAACGTCAATTAACATAGAAAGAACTCTTTTTTGCAAATCTGATCATTATTTCAGAAGTTCTACGTTCGTTCAAAAAAATTTTTTTTGCAAGTAGAGTTATCGCCGTTATGATAGTTATACATTTTTTAATTATTATATCAGTGAAGCTGTTTTTTTAGACTTGGGCAGATTTTTGTGCAGAAGGAGGAACGTTTATAAGAAATAAACTTTCAAAGGATATGATTGGTACACTGCAGTTTTATGAAACTTGTGAAGCTTCTCAGACTCACGACAATACTCCGACAATAATGAATTTGAAGGATATAAATGGCAAATTGTCAGACATTCAGAAGACTGCATCAGATGTGGATATGAGTTTGCATAAGCTTTTCAACGACACTGAAACAGTTAGTATTACGTTCGAATATTTTATTCAATTTTGCCGTCGTAATATTTTGGGCATCTTAAAAGTGCAGCTGGCTCGTTTTTCAGATAAAAGCTGACCTTAATCTAATTCTTGACGACGTTACGCACAGCTTCAAAGGCGTTGGAGCTTTAGATACTCAGGTCTCGTGCTACAGTTTCCACAATGACGTTGATAAAATAAAACAGGGATTTTGTGAAGCCGGAATGTAAGTTGTTGAGTTGAAGGAGCGAAATTTTATAAATCTGTTTAATTAATTCATTGTTTGGAACTTTTAATAAAGCAAAATTTTTAGGTTTGGATCGGCGTTGCTAACTATATCACTGTTATCCCTTGGCTTTTTCATGTTTCTACTCTTACTTATTGTTTCCAAATCATGGTATCTTTTCAAAAAATTGTGAGTTTTGCTGGATTTACTTCATTTTTTTTTTGAATAATACGCTTAAAGAATTACTTACTCAGAAATATACACAGCTACTTTATACTCCTGAGCTGACTGTTTCAAGTATTTTCTTAATTAAAGTTTTAGACCTTCTGATTATGTTGAAGTCGATGATGAAGATCCATTCTTTCCGCGCGGTAATGACAGTACAATCCCAGTAGATATATATGGGACACATGTATACAATCCAAGAACACGATATGCTAATTCGCTGTTTGTTTCGAATATTAAGTGAAATAAATAACTGTATTAACTTAAGACAATGAAATTTGCATTATTTAGATTTTTTTTCCTTCCCAGATGGTAATTTAATTTATTTTTGCGTTGTCAGGGACCGAACTGAGCCATCAACTGGAACCACAATTGCTCCTGGCTTACCAAACGGCTCTACTAGCACTCAGCCATCTGCCTCAACCGCACTGCTTGCCGGAGAAAACGATTGGCAACGGGCTACAGCCCCACCGTCTAATCCAACGATGTTTGCATCACCGCCTGCGGTAGGAACGAACAGGTTCCTCGCATAGATGAAAAATTCATTAGAAAGAAGCAAGGGGGAACTTTTTTCTTTTTGGGTAAAAGAAGATTTTTTTTCACAGAAACCTGGAATTGATTTTTGCTAGTTTTTGAAGAGGCACGATTTTTGCTAGTGAGAGACAAGGAATTTTTGGACTTATACCGCATGATTTTTTATTTCTAGGTTTGTTGTTGTTTTTCTTTTCGTTTTCTATTTTTATTTTCACCTTTTGTGTTTGACTTTGAGCTTTCAAGTCAGGAGAAAGGGATTACAGATTTAGCAGCTGGAAGGGTTCTTCTCAAGAATTCAAATTTTTTCTGCTTTTTACTTATTCTTTTGCAACTTTAGTTATCGGAGTTAATGGCGTTTGTTTGTTAGTTATATTTACTTGGTCTTCTTATTTTGTTTAGTATTGTAAAGTTATTATATGTTGAGTTTTCTTATGTTTTTTTAATTTTTGCTTGTTGAATTTTTTGAAATTTTTTCTGACTTTTGCTATGCTTTCAGTATGGTGAGGTCAGCGTATACAGTTAGGAACGATGATGCATGCAGATACCGAAACTACCAAGAGCAATTTGATGTATAGTGCCTGTATTTGTGAAAATTCTGTTCTGCAGGTAGATAGATTGGTGGCAAGTTTGCTTGGCAGCAGCTTTTCACTATTTATTATTTATTATCATTGTTATTTTGATGCTTTCGTTTGGTTTTGAACGAAATTGGGCAATGAAACTGTGAAAAGTAAAGCCGAGAGTAAATAATATTGAAATATGTAATTGCTCGCTATTCACTGTTAGTTTATTTAACTCACGTATGATGCTTGGCATACCAACATCATAATATGCACTAAAAAGAGTAGGGGATGGTCTGGGTGTTTTTTTCTTTATTGTACAGAAATCGCATGATTTTGGATGTGGCCATTTGACTGAAGAATGCCTAAACTTTTGTTTTTGAATTCTGAGGCAGTAGGCATCAAACAGGTGAATGATGATGCACTGTTGAGGACGGTAGGTGTTGGTACTGTCAATGTTGATACATATGCTTGTGTATTAATGCGTGCTTAAGTGTGTATGTGAGCGTGTGCATATGTGTTTGTGGGTGTGTGCGTGTGTATGTTTGAGTGTTCATTTTTGATTGGTCATTTTCTTGGTGTTATTGTTTGTAAGTAAAATTAAGACCGTTGAAGCGGCATAAATATGCTGTTAAATCTGCGTACTATTTAATGACATTAATTTCTGGTTGCATTTTGGATAGCCGATAGAGAGGGGTCAGGGGTTGGACAATTCTAAAAGATTTAAGATGACACCCACCAGCTGCAATGTTGCGCTTTTTTCTGTCTATCGATTTGCTTTCAATTATTTTTTGTTCGTTTTTCCTTTTGGTTTGCCAGGTGTTCAGCAACGATTTTTCAAACTAATTTTTCTAGTACTTTTTGCTGAAACTTTTTACTAAAACCCTTAAATTATTTATCACTCTAGTTTGTTAGTTTAAGTAAGGACAGATAGTGTAGAGAATTTGTAGTGGTATGACAAACTGCAATTGGGTCTTATCGTATGCAAAGGGTAGTTTGTTTTTTCACACTTAAAAATAAGAATTTCCATTATTTTGAGTGGGAAATGAAGTCTTCTCCCTTTGTTGGTTGGCTTAATGTGAACTGAAAACTATCATTAATTTGGGAGGAAAAAGATCAAAAAACAAATGAAAATAGGTTGTTGTACAAAGATTCCTTGTTAATTTATGTAACGGTCTTACATGTGAATCTCGAGGTGCTCGGAATTTTTTTTAGTTCTCTGTGTTCGTTGCCAAATTTACTGTTATCGGTACGGAGAAGGAACTATTAATAACTGTAAAGTCTTTGAGAATTTCGAGGTTATTTCTATATACTTCTATCCTTCTGTTTTGTGTGCTTTCTTTATTCTCTCAATTTTTGTGTTTATTTTGTGGTTCTTGGCATTTTGCAAGCATCGTTGCATTTGGTAACAACTTTCCAGTGGTGTATAATCAATTTTTATGCGAACACTTTCATTATTGTTCATTTTTCTTTGTTGGGTTGCATTGTTTTCCCATTTTCACCACTGATTCTGTTAGCCTTAGACTTAGAGTTAAGAACCTTCTATGTATTTTATGTACTTTATGCTTGAATTCTTTTTCTTTTGTCTTTTTTTTCTGTAATTATTATGCATCATTTCTGTTGTTCTTATTCATACTTTTTTGATCTCCGCAGTTGGATGATTTAACCTCTGTGTTGTCCACTTTTTCTTTTTGGTTTTTGACTATATCAGATACGGAAAAGTTTCTGGACTTGTTTATCACATGCAAAAAAATGATAATTGAAGAAAAAAGAAGGAAGATTTTTTTTTCTTATTCTTTTTTTGTCGTTTATCCAAGTATTAAGTGTTTTCACACGGAGAACAGTTCTGCTACTCATTGCATAGGTGACAACTGAGTGTGCTGTTTTTGTTATTTTGGTTGGTAGATAACAGTGTGGAAAAATACAAAAATGTTGTTTATGGTTTTTAGGAGCTCACAGCGAGGACAGCAAAGATGGATTTAGTGGACATTACACATCATTGAAGGGATAATATTTCAGTTGCGAGAGACGCATCGATAGGGTTTGGTGATAAGTCGCATGCGGGTCACTAGTTTACGGGTCGATTTATGCTCTGAAGGTTGGATAAGACATTGTTCTTCTCACAGTACACACTGCTTTGAAGTGGGTTTAGGAAATCAAGATTCCGGATCATTTGGTTTTGCGCATTGATAGTGAGGAAAATAAAAAACTTCTTCAGCAATTTTGATGGACTTAGCAGTAAACAGTGAAATTTTATGGGGAAGCTTGGAAAGCTGTTGTTAACTATTTCTTATATGAAGTAGATGGCTTTCTGGACGAGAAAACACATGCTTGTTCACAGCTTCAGGGTAGTCTTTGTTAAAGATCGCCTTCAATAATTTTTTCACCGAGGCTAGTTGTTGTTGCTGTTGTGGCTGCAGCTATTGTTGAAAAGAACCAATAAGTGCCTAATTTCAAAATTTTCAAAATTTGAAGGATGTCAAGATTCCTGTTCAGAAGGGGACAAATGGCATTCACAAGTATATAAAACATGGAGACTAGAATCAACAACGACGAGATCCTTAGAAAAAACAACGCAGTTCTTGTTGATCTCGTGAAAAAAAAAGGTAAGATTAACTAGGCAACAATGCAGTGCGATTTCTTTAGTTAACAAAGGACACAGTAAAGCATTGTATACAGAATGACAACTGACAGATAACAACAATGACTAGATAATAACATCAAAAAAAAAAA